CTATAGTAATACGGTAACATTCATGTTACTATGAAAAAAATAAAATTAAAACCTTATTTAAAAAAAAAAAAATCCGTTGAATGATGTTGCAATACGAACACCAATAAGTAACATTGAATTTCGGTAACGAACAAAGAAAAAACGAAAATAATTAATTCTAATTCTAATACAGCACTATCAGTAACATGAAAAACAAAACTTAGAACCTAGTTTCAAAAAAAAAAATTAAATAATTCCGGTAAATAAAATTGAAATGCAAATTCCAGTTAGTAACATCAAAATTCCGGCAAAATAACTTTCAATTTACACTAATTTCAAAACAACATTTTTAATTACATTATGTAAAAAAAGTCAATTAAAGTGAAAATACATCTGAAAATCAAGAACTAGTAGATTGAACTGAAATCACAAAAAAATTCGAACTCCTGTTGCTGCTGCTATCACCTTTGACACTCCTATAAAATAAAAATGAAGTATCGATATGTTATGAAGAAGAAGAACACAACAGGTTTCTTGAAAAAATTCAAAAATGTTCAAATTTTTTTAAAAAAAAAAAAAGGCTCCGTTGAATGATGTCACAATACGAACACCGATAAGTAACATTGAATTTCAGCAAAAAACAAAGAAAAAATGAAAATAATTAATTCTAATTATAATACAGCACTACCAGTAACATGAAAACAAAACTTAGAACCTAGTTTCAAAAAAAAAATTAAATGGTAAATAACATTGAAATGCAAATTCCGGTTAGTAACATCGAAATTCTGATAAAATAACTTTCAATTTACGGTAATTTCAAACTGTTAATTACGTTATGTAAAAAAAGTCAATTAAAGTGAAAATACATCTGAAAATCAAGAACTAGTAGGTTGAACTGAAATCACATAAAAATTCGAACTCCTGTCGCTGTTGCTATCACCTTCGACACTCTTGTAAAATAAAAATGAAGTAACGGTATGTTATGAAGAAGAAGAAGAAGAAGAACACAATAGGTTTCTAAAAAAATTCAAAAACGTTCAAATTTTTACCTTTATTTAGCACGAAAAAATAATCAATTCTAAATCTAATAAAAAACAAAAGTTTGTTACTGACACACGAATGGTATAATTGATTCAGATTTTGAATTTGAATTTGAATTTTTAATAGAATCTTTTAATCTAAAATTGAATTAATAGGCCACTAATTTTAACGTAATTGAAGCATAATATTTTGATATATACAGTTTCCATAAAAAATTGATCAATTTATTACCATATATATCTCAAACATCTAACTTATGTCTTTCCATAAATGACCAGAGTTAACACCGTAAGGGGTATTTTTTGAGATAAAAAAAAAGTGGACTTAGGTCAGTATATATAATTTTAAATATAGACTTAACTCTCTATAAATTTTCTTACTGGATTTATCTCCAAATAAGTACATATAGGAGGACTCACTCCCAATTTTCACTAAAATTTATTACTTTAATAAGTATTTTTATAATTTTTGTGTATTTTTTTACCACTGTTATATGTATTTTTATCACTATTTTAGTAACTATTTTTACCAATTTTTTTTGACTTAAAAAAAATTATTACTGTTGTAAGTGATTTACCACATTTATGGATTTTTTACTATTATTGTGATGACTATTTTACCAATTTTTTTGGTATTACAACAATTATAAAAATATTCATATATATGATAAATATCGGTACAATACCGAATTTTTATTTTTTGGTACGTTAGACAACTCCAAAGTCTTTTGAGGAGGGTTAGTTTTACCATAAAAATTATAAAAAAAAAAAAGGCGATTTGAACCTATAATTAAAAGTGTCAAAATATGACATAATTCATTAACACCGCACGAAATTATAAGGTTTAAATTTTTTTAAATCACTCATTTGTAAATCTAACATTACATGATTAATAAATAAATCGGGCATAGATGAAGTCAACTAAAAAAAATATAATACACAACATGATTAGTTAATGTTTTGGTTATACATGATTCATAAACGATACGAATTCGATATAACATAATTCGTTAAATATAAATTAATAAATTAATTAAGTATAAATATAATATTTTTTAACATAAAACTGTTAAGACTCTATACAAATTTATCTCACCCGACAAGAGACACATATGAGACAGAGTCACCAAATCGAAAACCTCCACAGTTGCAATAACGAAATGTAACAAAACGCTGCCAGCCAAAAAAAAAAGGAAAGTAAATGGGACTTTATTTGGTGGTAAAACAATACACTTTACCTTGTATTTCTGGATTATACTTTTAACTTTTTAGGTCTTCTTAGAGAGTGGATGTTCTACCCTTTATCCAAAAGGGGCATAGGTGGTGGTTATGCAATTGCTAGTGTTAATCCAGTTCTAATCATTGTGATTGTAAGAATGTGGTACTTTAAAAGATTAGTTAATAATTGGGGGAATCGTAAGAATGATAACAACACAAAGGGGAATATTACACTTTCACTCCCGTCAACTATATTTCAAAAATTACTTACCCCAAAAGAACTATATTTCAAAATTTCCAAATGCCCGCTATAAATTGAATGAAAAATTATGTCCCTTTGTCTCTAAGCTATGTCATTTTATTTCAATTTGTCAAAACGTCTTTTTTTTTTTTTTTTTTGGTAAGTGTCCAAAAGTCATATTACTGGTAGATATTTTTCTATCTAAGGCAGAGTAAGCGTATGAATTTCAGGGTTGTAAGATTAGTTCAAGAGTTGACAACACAACATGAAAAACCTTAATAGTATGGATGATTAAATGTGATCGAAATCATAGTTTTAGGGTGCAAAGTATAACTTATTGTAAAATAATTAATTCTATTGAGATTTAAAAAAATTGATCTAATTTGTTGACATAATTATGATAGTTATGTGGCCCAATAATCCTTATGGTTGGTATAATGGTCAAGTTTGTTCTTTTGCAAACAAGTAGTATCAGGTTCGATACTTTTCACACCTTTTAAGGGTCACCTATCCTTGTTTCTCAGAAGATATGTTCTTAAACTAGTTTAAATTACGATAGTCGGCTCAGAGATTGAGAGAGTAGTTGGTGTAAACTTGAACAATTTTTAGCAAAAAAAAAATACATGGTTCAATAAAACTATTGTGACTATAACTGTTGGACCTCCTTATTAAAACTCTATTACTTGACACATCACTAATTCAATAAATTAAATACATATTTTAAGTTCTAATAATATTATTTCTATAAAAATTAAGCTAAGCACTGAAAAGTTGAAACTTTATGGAATTATAAAATGATTTTTTGTACAAAAAAACAAAGAATATGGGGACAAAATGACTTTTCATACAAAGGGGAGCCTTTGGAATCTTATAGTTGGAAAACAAGTTGGGTGCCTATTTTTCAAAAGTAAAAAGAATAATAATGTTGGTTGTTGAACTGACCCATAAAAGCTAACAACCATAAAGGAAGACAACTATCATTTTCTTGTAGTCCTATTGATGGATATGAATAGCCCCGCCTTGCCCATAATTTCCAATACTCCCTTTGCTAAATGTCAAAAATCTTGGAGGCACTTGAATTGCAATTATGGGAGAGTGTTTCCCATCATCATAAATTTTTTTAATTTAATCCAATCCCCACTTGTACATGGTGTTATCCATAGAGGTTTCAACATTAAGTTAGGATAATGATGTTTATCCAATCAAATACATGTTTCATTAAGTTGATTTGGTTTTTGGTATGGTGTATTAAATTAATTATTTTTGCACAGTTTTTACCCTGAGATTTTTTGAATTATTTACCAGTCTAACGTTGTTTTAAAACAAATATATCAAAATACTATATTTTTTAACTTATTTATCAAAATACAATACTTTTTAAAAGTGGAGTTAATAACTCCGCTTTTATTAAAAAAAACGTAATCAATAATCCAACTTTTATATAAAAAATGGGGTCAACAACCCCACTTTTAAATAAAAAAACATGGTAGGACATAAGAGGCTTAACACAATAAAATTGTGTTTATTAACCACACTTTTTCAATAACGCAGCTCTTCAAAAAGCGTGGTGAAGAAACATGATTTTAATGTATTAAGCTCATTATATTTTACCATATTTTTTTATTTAAAAGTGGGGTTGTTGACCCATTTTTTACATAGAAATGGAGTTAATGATTACATTTTTTTAATAAAAACATAATTATTAACTCCACTTTCAAAAATATTGTAATTTGATAAATAAATTTAAAAATATCATATTTTTGTATATTTGTTTTAAAACAATTATAGATTGGTAAATAACTCGAGATCTTTTAATAGAAAGGTTGCTCCTTCGGTGGTATAGGATTTGGATTCTTTCAAATATATTTTCTTGTGATTTTTTCAATTGTAATATATGTATTATTTATTTAAGTTTGATGTACTATAAATAACATTGAAAGAGATGTAAATTTTGGTAATATCTACATATTTATCTTTTCTTCGTTCCAATCAGGTGGCTTTGTATGCCCTCGAGGATGCACATGAACTAGATCAAGAGAAGGCAAACTACTAATCTATTTTCGATTTATTGGTATATAAAGAGTGATTATTTATGATTGTGGTGAACTTTGAACTATCTTGTTCAAGTTGGATTATTTTTACTTTTTTGTTTGAATTATGAATCTAATCATCTAATTAAATATCTCGATGGATCGAGGTTGATGTTGATTTGAATTGGATTATATTCGTGGCTTATTGGGAAAAATCCATCCAGTCCCATGTGCACATGTTGGCGGACTTGTTCAGATCGAACACCATTACTCCAGCCGTTAGACAGTCTAATCCCAACATTGTACAACACAAACCCATGTACTAAAACAAACAACATATCCAGCTGGCACCTATCTATAGCCACTACCATTGACCTTGCACACCCTAATCTGACACGTGTCCATTATACACGACAGCATCATCGTTTTATCGTACAACCTTATTGTGTTTTGACGCTTCACTCTCTAAAACCTTAATTCTATCACACGTGCTGTCTTCCTTTTTAACGCCGGAAGTCCCTCCTCTCTCCTCCCCGTTCTCTCTCTCCGTTCAAACTCAAAACACGCACACACACAAATCTCATCAAAGCCCTAGCCAGTTCTTGACGAACATCACCATCATCTTCTTTTTGATGATGAACATCTCAAATCCATTTTCAAAGCATAAGCCATAGTAATATACAGTTGTTTGTACATATATACACACATATATACGTATTGGCGTATATAGCATTGATTGGAGATATTGGTTTGGGGGTGAGATGGGGGCGGTGACGTCTACAATGGCGGCGAAGTTTGCGTTCTTTCCGCCGAATCCGCCGTCGTACAGGGTGGAAGCGGACGAATCGAAGGGGAAATTGAGGATGACTGAAGTGGCGGAGAAGGAAAACGTGGACGTATTGAAGCTGAAAACGAAGAGAGGAAATAAAATCGTTGCAGTTTACTTTAAGAACCCAGCGGCTTCTCTGACGGTGCTGTATTCGCATGGGAACGCGGCTGATCTAGGCCAGATGTACGAGTTGTTCAGTGAACTCAGTGTTCACCTACGAGTCAACTTGATGGGGTGAGTCACGCACAGCATATATATACATTTTATATACTGTTTTTGAGTTTACATAAAAACTATAGCTTTTTCTGCAGTGGATCAGAATGGATATGGATGAGTACCATGATTGTACATAATTTGTATGCTTAGCTATGTGAACTGTTTGTATATGATTCAACTTGATGGGTCTGTTTGGATATATACTTGATGATATTTGTAGTTTTAGACACTGCTTTTTGAGCTTAATAAAAAAAAAAATACTACTGTAGACTGAGAGGTAAGCTTGTGCCTGGTGCAATTTCAAAAGGATTTTTTTGGTTCTCAGGAACAGGAACAGATAGCAGGGATCAAGGGTCTGTTTTGGTTGATACTGAAACGAATCAATGATGTGAAATATTCTCGTGTCTCGGAATGTTGCTGTGTGAAATTCCAATTTGTCGGAGTCAAAACTTTCCTTTTTTTTATTCTATTTTTTATCCAAACCGATCAAAACTATGTACCAACACAAAATTTTGATTTATTAAATTTACCTTGGAATGGTAAACTGTACACTAAACCTTCATTACCTCACAACGGGTCTCCTCAACAATGATAGATGTATAGCGTTTCTGAAGATATATTTGACAAGTGATGTGGTTGGGATTCTTGGGAATGTCCATAAGATTCAAATGTTTTTTTTTTTTTTGGAAGCTGAAATAACGGAAATATTGATTTCAAATAGGTTAAAACTGTTTCCTATCGGAAAAAAATATGTTGGAACTTTTTTTTTTGTTATTGATGTAATTACTGAAATTGGAAATAAGTTAGGGTTTGGAAGCTGAATCAAATATGAGTAGAAGGACAATGAATAAAGAAAAAAAGAAAAGGAATTTGAATTTGCCTTTTAAACCTCTGTATCTCATTTTCTTTGCAGGTATGATTATTCAGGCTATGGGCAATCTTCTGGCAAGGTAAGACTAGTTTCAGATTAGTTTGGAAATGTTTTCGAAATAGGAAGATACAAAATTATGTGTTTCATGTATTGGTTTTGATAGCCAAGTGAGCAGAACACTTATGCTGATGTAGAAGCAGCATATAGATGCCTTGAAGAGAAATATGGGGTAAAAGAGGAAGATATCATATTATATGGGCAATCCGTTGGAAGTGGGCCCACTTTAGATTTGGCCTCCCGTTTATCGAGATTGAGGGCTGTGGTTCTTCATAGTCCAATCTTGTCTGGACTTCGAGTCATGTATCCGGTTAAGCGGACATTTTGGTTTGACATATATAAGGTGAATCTACTTCTGATATGCAGTTACTTTAAGTTTGATCTTCGTTGTTGATAATATTAGCTAGATCAACTCTAGATTGATGAATTCTGCTTTATGTGTGCAGAATATCGATAAAATATCATTGGTGGAATGCCCTGTTTTGGTAATCCATGTGAGTACTTATTGCATTTCCCGCTGATGTCTACACTCTTAAGAAATTTTCATGTTATGTATTTGGCATGTTGGGATCATGTAGTTGGATGAATAAATTGGACAGCTAATGAAAAGAAATTAAAAAACGGCTCTGTAATTTAGAGTTTACTCTCCCTATCTTCTGTTTCGTGTTGTACTGCTTCTATCATCGTCATTGATTGAATTCACCCTTTTGAAATTTGTAGGAATTCTTCAATTTTAGTATTGTTGTTGTAGATTAGCTGATATCAACTAACTTACAGCTTCAGACCATTTATCTGTTTCCCAACTATCAGAAGGGTCATATGTTTAAAGTTCAAATATATCTAGTGGCTGGCAACCATATATTCTCTATTGCAATGGCCACATATGCTCTATGGCCCGATTTGCAGAAATGAACTGCCTAAAATTAACTAGTTCCTTGATTCCACTAACCTGTGTAATCACTGCACACTTGAAACAAGGAGAACCTCCAAGAATTACCTGGGTACCATAATCATCCACTGAAATCATGCAGAATCACACTGCCAAGACTGCTAGTATGAGGACCACTCTTTTAAAAACTTTTCTGGTTAGATGCCCTGAGGTATTAACACTCTATTGCTCCGTCTAAGTCCTTACAGTTCTTTTATGTTTTGGGAGTTTGCTGAAGTACTCTCCAAATGAGCTGTTGTGTAGTAAAATTTGGCAGGTACAACCATACAAGATTTGTCATTCAATCCTACTTTCTGTCTTGCATGGTTATGCAGGCTGGTCAAAGGACTTATTTTCTGTTTTTTGCCTCTTTCAGTACATTTTTCATTTGGCATTGTTGTGTTTCTTTGTAAATAATCATTTGATGGCATTTGAGTATAAGATTTTGATCGGTTCCTCACTCAACTCAACAAAGCTTGTTCCAACTTTTTGGAGCCGGTGGCTGTATGAGTCCTGTTTCATTATTGTGCTCTATTGAGGGTCATAATAGTTGTTAAACCATATGCTTTCATATTTTTTTAACTATTTTATTGAGGTTAATTTTGGTCTTCCTCTAAAGTGTTGACCTCTGCCTTTTTGACATGTCTCAGGTAGACTCTGTCACATTCACAAATTGCTAATTTTGTCAAGTATCTCTTGTTGTAATTTTCAGGTTTTTTTGAGCAAGTAATTAAATGTTTTTGATGAACTATGCAAGCATTTACATTTCGGCAGCCATAACACATGATCAAGTATGTGCTGTCGAATAAATAAGGGGGGGGGGAATCTTATAGGAATACTGGAAAGTGGAAACTTACTGAGCACTTCACCAGATTAACCTCCCACAGACATGCTTTTTATATTGCAAGATACCCTTCATTTTTGTAGAATTATTTAGAAGAAATAACCTCATAGGATAAAGATTTTTAGTATGGTAAAACCTGAGAATCAGCCTTTCCAAAATGGAGGTAAGATTTTGTACCACTTACCTTTCTCAGACCACCTATAAGCAGAAGTCTTGTTTACTCGGTATGACAGGTAATTAACATTGTGAAATAAAATACTCAATGAGTAATCTCATGTACACTGAATGTCAATTACAATTTCTTCATTTATAACAAGCTGGATATGAATGGGAAAATGTTATATAACACACGTAATTGTGTTGCATTATTTAATGGATATTGTAGATGACAACTGTCATGAAAGTGGTATAATCTTAAAAGTTGCACTAGGAAGAATCAACATTTATGTGACATGGATTCGGGCCATGCGGGGTCATGGATGCATGTTTAGGCAAGCTAGATGAAGAATTGATAAGTTGGAATGTCTTTTTCCCCAGTAAGTTATAAGTTGGGCAGACTGTTAGAGATCGTGTAGGAACAGAAAGTATAGAAAGAATCATATGCTACTTTTTGTTGACTACACATGTTTTCTACCAGACAGTTGATGTGTTGGGTACATATCTCATCTTCGTATCTATATATATCAATATGTTGTGCACATATCTCATGTTCAGAACTTTGGCATGACTTCTTTAACAGTAGTAACGCACAGTTGTTCAGATGAACATGTAACAATGCTTGTAAGATAAATGTAAACAAGCAGTTTCCTCTATAACTATTCAGATTTGCAAGTGGATAATTGATGTCCTATGGAAGTTTTTAATTTCATTTTTGGTCTAGTGGTTGGGCTATACATTAGTGGGTTCCCCCCTTAACCCCTCCCCCCCACAAAAAAAAAAAACCGGGATGAGGCAGGACTCTATTACAGGCCTCTTCTAGTTTATACAGGATTTAGAGAAAACCTTTTTGAGATTCTAAGCAATTCAGAGTCTGAAAATGCTTTCTCTATGTTTCTAGAGTATGCAAATAATAGTATAATGGGTATTCATTAATTTTGCTTTTTAGAAAGTCCAATATTAATTAGCAATAGTGACTCTTTTATCTGTAAAATGTCATATTGTAGCTTTCATCTAGTTCATTAAGAAGATGTTAATAACTTGGTCTTTCCATTTCGAGATGACTTTTGCTTTTCATTTTTTGTCCTGCATTCTCATGTGCATCAAGTTTTTGTGCTTGAACATTCCTAAGTCACTTACTAATGTGAAGTTATGATACTAACCATACCATAATGCACGAGGTACCAATCATTACATTTGATGGTGACTTGACCTTCAGGAAAATGAAAAATTGTTTGCTAAATAGATCACACCTGCACCATGCAAATGCTGACCTTCTGTTCAAGTGCATGTTTGCCCTGCTTTTTGACTCCATATTTACCTCTTTGTGCTCGCAGGGAACTGCAGATGATGTTGTGGACTGCTCCCATGGTAAGCAGCTTTGGGAGGGTTGTAAAGAGAAGTACGAACCACTATGGATTCAAGGAGGGAAACATTGTGACTTGGAGACCTATCCAGAGTACATCAAGCATCTGAAGAAGTTCATATCTGCTGTGGAGAAAACAGGGCATTTGAGGAATGGATCTGGATTGCATTCAGATCATTTGGAGAATCCTCGCAACAGCACTGATTATAGAGACAAACCTAGACCAAGCATAGATGTGAGAGAGAAATCAAGATTAAGTACTGACTGGAGAGAGAAGCCAAGGTTGAGCATTGATCATCGAGAGAAACCAAGAGCCAGCACGGACAAGAGAGAAAGATCACGAAAGATTGCAGATCACACTGAAAAAGCAAATTACAACTCAGACCAGCCAGAGAAAGCAAGGAACAGCATTGATCGGTTGGATTAGACTTAGTTGGCTAAGCGTGTCTTTCCATTTTTTTTTTATATTCTTTATTTATTGCATTGTGCCCAAAGTGGCATATTAAGTATAAATACAAAAACTGTCTTTCTTGACTGTTGAAATCAAATGATGACAGCTTTGGAGATATGATGAGATCAGCTGTATGGTGCAATATCGACTGTTTCAAGCCTACCGGAGCAAGGGTCTGAGGAATTGAAAAAGGTCAGTGTACAACATCAGATTTTATCTGGTTACTTCTGTTTTTCTATCGGTCAATTGTTTCGATTGGGCAATTGGAATTAATTTGACCAGGCTGATTTTGTGTCTGATGTAATCTGTCAAAACTAATAAATCAGACACATTTTCTCCTTCCTTAATTGGAATGGCTGTTTCTTTTAAATCTCCTCTTTTTATTTTAAGTTCTACTTATAATCTGACCATGTCACAACTTAAAGTGTTGGTGGAATGATGCATTCCTGCCTGTATAGTCTGCAACAAAACGAACAAACTTTTTTATTGACAAGACCAACATTGAAGAAACATCTTCTGGGAGCAATTTATGTACTCTGTCATGGGTTCTTTTAGATTTCCCCAATGATGATGCTTGTGAAAAATCATATTTATGTACTACTGTCATGGTTTTTTTTTTTTTGGGGGTTTGATTTTCTTGACTTTTTTTTATTAGATGCTAATCTGTTGAAGTAATTCACTGGAGAGAAAAAAAGGGGTAAAGTAGATGATAGGGAATCTGTCTGTGGTATGCCTCTATGCCTTGCAAAAGTGAGAGTACTTATAGGTGGTGTTTGATTAAACTAAAAATTAAGACTTGGTGTTTGATTAAACTAAAAATTAAGAATGAAAACTGAATATTGAATCTTAAGTGTTAGTATGTTGATTTTTTTAATCCGTGAATCGTTTGGTATCCATTAAAATTTTTAAGTATTGAATTGAATCAAGCCGTTTGACAAATATAAGGAGCTGAAGTCTAAAAGTTAATGTTCTTCTAATTTTGTCGTCCCCTTTTATCATCTCACCGTTATTACCTTATCTCCACCACCACCATCACTATCAATCGTTGCCATTACCACCACCCCTCCATCACCTTCTCTACCATTCCACCTTCACAACCCTTGCTGTTGTCGTTGCCTCCTCTAACACCATCGCCACCATCACAATCCCACCATCAATCAATTGACACCCCCACTCCCCACCCAAAAAAAAAAGGACTTTATTTGCTGTAGATAGTTGCTTAATTGTGAAATTTATGTTGCCTGGCATCACCTAGCTCCTGAAGTTGCTTCTGCTGCTGCTGCCTCGGCAGTTCTTGCAGCTGTTTGAACATAATCTGCCCCTGCAGCAACATCTGTATGTCATTAAATCCTGGAGGGTCCGCTGCCTCGGCTGGCTGACGTTGTGAAACACCAGGTAGTTATATCATCCTAAAACCCCCAACCAAGAATGTTAAAAATCAGCAGGAGCTTGGCCAGTTTTCAATCTTAGCCGTAATTGCTGAGCAAGGAGGACTCTGGAGATGAAGTGTATAGCCAGCAAGCATCCAAGATAATCTATATAATATGCCTAAATCGTTTAGATTTGATAATTTATATTAAGATTTATATATTAACCTTTTAATTGCATTAACTCATTGAAATTTTAACTTTTTATGCTGATAAAATAACCATTCTCTCTGAAATTTCTGGTCTAATCCATGCATTATTGAGCCATTCAAATATAATACAGGTGGTCTTATGGTTTTAGTGGGTAGGGGTGATAATCAAGCCTAGTTTTGCGATCTTGAGTCGAGTTTGTTGAGCTTATTTTTTTAAACGAGCTTAAAAAATTATTCAAACTCGATTTGTTCAAAAAATGAGCCAATCTTTACGAGTTTGAACCGAGCTTTATAGGCTCATTTTTTAAACAAATCTAAAATATTATTTATATTCGACTTGTTTAAAACATAAGTCGAGCCAAATGTAGTTTGGTTCAACCATGAGCCCTATTTGATGGGTAAGGTAAAAAATTCTGTAAAGTTGTCAGTTAATGAATTGCCCTCTGGAGATAATTGTTACCATGTCCTCCGTATAAGAATCTGCAAATATCCGAAGAAATAAGAGTTGCAAATGAGAACAATTGGCTTGGCACCAAAACAGGAAAGAACATTTTTTTCATCAATTTTTTCCTCTTAACTAGTATTAAATAACCTTGAATAGAGAAAATTTAAAAATCAAATGAAAGAATGGCAGAAAAATCCTGCATGTCGGTTCCATGATCGTCTATGAGATGAGTGTAAACCCGCAAGTTTTGAGATCGAGTTTTCCCTGATTGATAAAAGTTCTATAGGAATCCATACGCTTCATTTTGTAGGTGATTACGTATATTCGAGATTTGTATCACAATTATCAATCTAAATGATGTCTGGAGGAGTGTGTTCGACTGCGAGAATGCTATGATATTATCAATTTTTTATAGGACCATTGAATAGTTATAGGTAAACGATTTGTGCGGGATAAGGTAATTGTGAAATCTTGATCAATGTATACTACAGTTTATACTGCTTGTTGACCATAATTTATGAACTGAGTTACCATTGGGAACATATCATGAATATGTATAAATGATTTTATGTTTTTTTCTTGTTTTGACACAAGTAGTGAATATAGAATATCGTATTCTTTTACGATGAAAGAAGTTGAAAAGGAGTTGTTCCTTATTTGAGATTTTTATTTGAATTGGCGACAACCCGTACGATGTACAAAATTTGTATCTTATCACCTTCGGCTACCCTTTTGACTATTTTCTCCCCTCCCTTGCCACCACCGTTCAAAAATAAAAAATTAGACAAATAATTATACAAACCTAGGGTAATAGAAAGTAATTTTTTTTAAAAAAAGAAAATGAATAAGGAGTTGTTAGTTAGTGAATAAGGGCTTGTGATCTGTTGATACGAATCTGACATGGATGATTATAAAATTAATATATTATTAAATACGTATAATAAATAATTTAAATTAATGTTTAATACTCAAAACATATTAAATAATTTTTTTTTCGTAGGTCCCGACACAAACAGAACACGAATAACAATTATACGACATGCGGGTCACACGATTGACATCCCTAAGTGGATGGGTGATTATATCGCACGATGGAATATAATTAGATTGAATGTATTAAAATAAATCAAAATTCCAAAGAGACCTCACATTTGTTTGCTAGCTATATAATATAGTATAGGTTTGGGTCTAAATTTTTTTGAACTCAACTCCAAAGCCGAAAGCTTGACCAAAAGGCAAATACATAACTACAAGTCCCCAAATTAAGCCAAATTTGATTAACATACAAAAAATTATGGAAAATTATGAAACAACCCACCTCGGCAAAAAAAAAAAAAATCTCCAAATGAAGAAGGTAAAATCTTTTGGAGGAGTTGTAATTAAACTCATCATATATTCTGTAACTAATTTTAAATTGTTGGGATGAAACTGTTAATTGGGTAAAGTCGGTTGATATAAACATTTCCATCTCTAATTTGGTGTATATATTTTTAATTGTCTCAATTTAGTTTTTTAATTATTAATTTATCTCAATTAAGTCATTTTGTCTATTTCTATTGTTAAATTAACACTGAAATGGATTATATCGGGCTAGTTTTTGTTTGATCAATAATAAAAATTTGAAAAAATTTAATTGAGATGAAATTAATAGTTGAGAGATTAAATTAAAATTAAAATAATTTTGATGGAAGAGCTTAAATAAAATAATTTAAAACTAAAGTAAAATTAAAATTAAAGATAAAATTCAGGCAACAACTATAATTTTTAGACATTAAACAAAATAAAGAACGATAAACAACATATCGTCTAAAAGGTTTAAGGAGGGTTTAAAGTCGGCCCTATAACCCATTTGTTGTTACTCCACGCCCACACACAAACACTCACACTGTCCGATTCTTTCTACTCATGAATCTTTGCATAATTTTTCATCAACCCATCTGCCATTCAGTGTTATCCACCATCGTGCAACTTTGTTGAAAGCAAAATTTATGTCCGTAGAGGGTAGTACATCTACGGAATTTTGTGGCAACAATTTAACCAATTACTTTCCTATAGAAATAAATGCATCACCATGTCCTCTAAAGGGGTAGTATAAAGAAGAATTTTGTAGCACCAATTTAACCAAGCAAATTTGATGGTAGGGATTATTTATTAGGTGTGGGTACACTAAACACATTATTTATTAGGTACGGGTTCAATACATCAATCTACTAGTAAAGTGAAAAAAAAGAACTAAATCCAATATCTAAGACACTAAGCATACAATCAAACATATTACGCCAGCCACCCATTGGCAGAGTTAATATTAAAAAAATGCAATCAAACATAAGCAACGCATCCACCCAAGAACACATTTTAAGATTGTCAGGCCATATGGTGAAATGAATTTAACTACAACATCATTTCTCTATCAAACTCCACCGTTCAAATACTACAATACTACTTTAATATGATGAATATCAGAAAATGTTAATTGGTCCCCTGAAAATATTTTTAATCCAAGCAACAATTTAATCAAAACATCCAAAAAAACAAAAACATTCTAGAGCATCCAAATTCCAATTGAAAATTGACAACTTGATATCTCATCAAAAGTATGCATATTAATATTCTGAAACACGTCTATGAACCTATCAATTTTATTAGGCTATTCATATTAAACAAAAATTCACAGGAGTTCAAATTAAATATAAAATTCATATTCAAAACCACAAATAATATGTACATCACCAATGCAGACAAAATACTCAAAAATTCAAGCCAAACTCTCACTTCAAAGCACAAGGTGGAGTAGCTATATAACCCCAGATTGACTCTCAGTATGGAGGAGGCAAACCTGAAAATTATGGAAGAACCATAAATTTAAAAAAGCACAAATAAAAGTAGAAACGTATTAGAGTAAAGAAATTGACAACTTCCGACCAGTACAGAATGTGTTTGGTTGCTTCATTTACAAAATTTTTTTTAAAATGATGGTGTCCTTTAATTCCAAATAAACAAAAAAACTCCATACTAAAAGCTAGATCAGACTTCATAGATAATTCAATCTTACACAATTAAAAAAATTTATCACTCAAGAGGTTGTCCAATTTTTAGGCATTTCAACAAACATATTATGTGCAGTATACCAAGCTTAAAAATAGTTATTCACCAACTACCGCAACATGATAGTAAATCCAAAAATCACATGCGAACAATACTTATAATATTATAATTGCGAATCGACAAATAAGGATGTCTGTTGTTCAACTAATCCAACTGAATTCAGGCCAAAAACGTAAATTTAAATCTACATTAATCATAGAAAGATCTAAATTGAAAAAGGGATGAAAGTAGTCATACAGAGATCGCACCACATTACTTAACATAAAATCCAACAAACTTCAGCATTTATGCATAAATTTGATAGAATTTATTATGTTCAAACGCAAGTTCTAACATAAGTTCAAAAGCATATTGTCAGCATTTACACAATAACTCTACAGCACTCAAAGCATAAGTAACTTAATTATAGAGACCAAAAAGCATGACCAGTCAAATGCCACAGAAGCTGAATGAATTAACCACAATATCAACAATGGTAAACCAACACTAAAGCACCCA